CAGACGATGTTAAACAGCGTTCGTAAATGATTTCTGTTTACTGCAGTTGCTGTGTGCTGCTGCTGCTTATTTTTCAAGTTTGCCATTACAATCTAAGAATAGGATGATATCTTTGGTGCAAAAGAAGCATTCATCAAGCAACGGAAGTAGTAAGCAACAACACAATGTAACGTTTGAAATGATTTATTAATTGTAAACAATCTTGATGAACTTCTGTTGTCAATAAGTGTAAAATTTAATAACGCTAAATGATAATAAGTGAAAATATTATATTAACTGAAAAAATTCAATTTTTTTGTTCTTTTTCTTTTTTTACTTTCTAAAAATATAAACATATGACTAATAAACTAGTGGCAGAGCAAAGTAAAGAGGAAAATTGAAAAAATCAAGTGAACGGTCAATTGGCAAATACCACAACACATTAAAAGAGAAAAACAAAAGACTTCCTTAATTTAATTCATTAATCAAAGACTTTTATTTTCAGCCCTTTTCACCCTCTTTATTAAGTGTTTGTAACTTCCTAACACCTAATCTCGATATTATAGTCCAAATAGAGGCGTTTTCTACCAATAACTGAGTCAGTAATAAATAATGAAACTGAAATAATTAAATACTTCCTATGTTCTACTATAAAAAAAAATCAGTGAAAAACGGAAAGAAATGAAATAATAACAATTAATGACAGATCATTTGGCTTAATATAGACCATAAAGCAATTCCACAAAAAAAGTGACACTTTTTTTTTAAAGAAGAAATGTGTTATTTAAAAGTTAGGTAACAAATTGGAAAAAAAGAAAAACCTAAAATAAAAATTAAGAAAAAATTAATTTACACAAAAAACTCCTTTCATGAAACAAAATTCAATCAACTTATATTTATACAGTTATTCTGTGAAAGCTTAGTAATTTCTTTCTGCTTTCTCCCAGTTAGTTGTTGAAAGCCATTTTAGCTGTGGTAACGTGACCTAAAAACTTTTCGGAAATAGCGCACTCGACGATATCTGTTACCATCTTTATCGACAAATGTTTCCTCCTGCGTTGCCGAATCAACCGGTGGAGGAACAACCTCGATTTGATACGATTCGCCTTGTGGCTTTATCTGTTCTGCTTCTACCACATTTGTAGTTTCAGGAGCTGCAGAACCAGCAAAAGCTTCCTCCGGTTGTACGATCACTGCTGCTGCTGGTGATGATGGTGCTATGGCTTCCGGTACTTCATTTGTTGGTGCTTCTGCGTTTGGTGCTTGAACTGTTTCAACAACAGCACTGGGCGCCGGACGAACAAACTGCGAACTGAGCGATGGCTGAACGAAAGTAACTGGCTCCGGTTCAACGACGGCAGCTACTTTGTTAGTTCGCACACATCCTGGCGAATTACAGTGCGCTGTCACACGCGCGGTATATACTTCCGGAACCGATTGTCGGTATGAAACATATGATTGTTGAGGTGCCGGAGCAGGAGCATAAGATGGTGCTGCAACGGCATAAGACTGTGGAGCTGCGGCGCCGGCATATGAATAACTGGGTTGAGCATATGATGCATATGATGGAGCTGCATATGATTGAGCTGCATATGATCCTGAGCTAAAATTGAAAATGATTAGTTTCAAGTTTTACTTTAATATCTGTTTAATTTACTAAAACTTGTTGCCCAATTTTCTACTCAGTTTTCAAGCATCAGTCAAGTTTGGCAGTTCAGAATTAGTTGACGGGAATTTTTTTTCGCTTATGCTTGAAAATATTAAAATTTGATATACAAATTTTTCCATGTCTAACTGTTTTTATCCAAAAGAATAAAGGACTGATGAACAGGAAGAGATAGCATACCTAGGCGTACATACTGTCGGACATCCACACTGCGGTTGAGCTACTGGACAACAGCAATTACCAAAGCCGAAGCACCCCAAAACGGGTCTGATTATGACGGTCAAAATCAGAAGCTGCAAATAGAATAAAAAAAAGGTGAAATAAAAACATCAATTATTGCCTCTCATTTATCCTCTAAGTTTTTTCTTCGCAAATCTTATCTAAGATAAAATGATGTTGACAAAACATTAAAAAATAGAAAATTTTTGTATTATGTAATTTTCTTTTGCATTTTTTCAACGATTTTTGTATAACTGGTCTCATTAGAAGATCCGTAGAAGAAAAAATACACGAAAAAGAGGAAAAGTAATCTTAACTGTTAATTTTTTTTTCATCTTTTGCTCTCACATCTTCATCCTTTTTCCCTCCTCCTCACCCCTTTCTCTTCTATTACTTCTCATCCTCTTCGCCGTCAACAGACTTATTGTTAATAGTAGCACTAAATGTGCAGGACTTTGAAAGCCTACTTTTCATAATAAAGTTTTTGACCATTTTCACCACTACCAGCACCATGGTCGTCACCGCCACTTTCGATGACAACAGCAGCTGCAGTAACAATTAAAAAATTGGAATTTTTTACTTTAGATCAATTGAGCTGATTTAATTAAGCTTACTTTTATAAATAAATGGGTGATAAAAGAAATTTTTTTTTCTTTTTCGTCGTGTTATTAGATCAAATACTGTATGTTGCTTCAGGTTTTAGGCCAATTACACTAATAAAGATTATACAGTGAGAACTTCTGAGGAAACCACCTTGCTCAGCTGTAAAAGAAGTTTTTCTGTCTCAATAATTGAATTGGTCTTCTGTCTATTCTGCTTATCGTTGTCTTACAGTTTATCAGTTGGTTATTACTTCTACTGTTAGGTCGCCATCAATTCTACAACGATCCTGGAGCAACACTTTCTTCCTATTGGTTTTTCATATTGTTTCCTTCCTATTTTGCTCTGCTATTATTTATTTACTGAGCGCAGTGTCATATGTATAGTTTGTCTATCTAGTACCCAATAAAAGTTGGAACTTCATAAAACATAAAATCTTTATTGAATTTTATAACGTGTGAAGTTTTTTGCTTTTTGCAACTACTTTTCTTCCTGCTAGCGTCATTCGTTTTCCTAACAAATTATTAGCAGTTAGAAAATGTTAGTCGAAACTGAGATTATACAGTTTACAACAAT